CCATCAGAAATACCAGTGGGATCGAAACATGAGTATTTCAGGTTTAAAGACAAAGGGAATAGCGAAACCTTTGATGAACCAATCTCTGGCGCTGGGGTGTTTGATATATCCATGTGATCCAGTTGTGAATTTTATAGACATTCCAGAGTCATGATGGTGGTCCCGCAGATTTCCTTGCTATATGGCTGGAGAAAGTATGCCGTTCTAATGATCAAGGGGCAGTTTCCTCTTTTATCGATCATCCAATAGCATTTAGAACATCTAAAGCTTATTTAGGGATGCATCTTTTCTAAGAACCCTTTGTTGAGCACCGCGATCATATTTGAAAGAATAGTGATGTTTACTCTATTCATGAGAATGCATTCCAACCAGGTGTATTCTCCAGACTTGTTCACGGCGCGAGAGATGGAAAGCTTCTAGTAGAAGAATTTCAGAACACACATCATATTAATAACCTCGCTGATATAGGGTAACCCGCAATTAATAGTTTTTGAAATTGTTCTTGTAGGTTTAACCTTTAAGGAAGGCTCCTTAATGATGTGAACTTCAGCCATCTTAGGTCGAGCTAGACCGACCAGTATCTATTCAAATATTTTCCTATCTGTGCAAATAGAGCCTTTCTCTAATTTGTGTTAGAGCTCTAATGTAGTTCACTAGAGTTGCTTCCAGAAACGGTTCTTTTGGGTGAAAGTTCCAGTAGAAGATTTCTTCTTTGAATTCTCGAGTATTTTTCATGAGCCTTTAATTTAGTCAATAATGTTCTTTTTGAGGTGGCTCGACGTGTTCTAGGCTATTTTGGTCTGGAAAGATCTGCCAGGCAGAGGAGCAGATTTGTTCCTTTGGAGAACGCGAGCTCTTTTTGTTCCTTTTTATATCTTATTTTCGGAAATTTCTTCCTCCATTATATGTGAGCCCAGCTCCTGGCGCCATTTTCTGGTAATTTATATACCAGACTGTAATCCGCTTCAGAGATTCAAGATTCGTCCACGCGTGAATTTCAATGAGTTTGCCTTGCTGAAGAGTTCCCGCACTTTTTATCTAGCCCTGTAAAAAATAGAGATAATGAGAAAAATATTGATTTTTATCATAGAAATTATATTTGATTGTGGAGAGAGTTAAAATAAAAATTTGAAAGCTATGAATAGTAAAGAGCTCAAATAAAAATATAATATTGGGAAGGTAGGTTACTAAGGATTCAGACATTATTGTTTCACATTATATTTCAATAATCAATGATAATAATAATGAGTATATAGAAAGAAGATTAACATATTCACATCACGTAGTCTGATCTGACATTTTAAATTCTTAGAGATATATAAAGGGTTAATAAGATAAAGGATTGAAGGTGCAGTCGTGATAAAAGAAAAAACAATTATACACTTTCCAAGTAGTTTTTATATTTAATCATTTGAATAGAAAATTACACACTAATTATTTTCACAATTATATAGATTACATGAAATTAATTCTATATTAGTGAATTTAAAAAATAAGTAAGTTAACTCTACGCATATTTACAACAAAATTGAAAATCATTCTAAAAACGATAGTTAAAAAATAGTATTATCAATAAATAAAAATAAAATATCTATTTTTTTCAAATATAAAATATTTGACATTTTAGATTATAATATATATATATCATACAAAATTGCCAACTGAAATCTTGTGATCTCAGAGATTAATGCATTATGCCCATTATCTGAGCAGCTTAATAAGAATGCAGGATTTTATCTTAGTGGACAGAATTCTATGACTACATCACTCTTAGCTCTGCTTGAACTTCAGTTCACTTTCTCTTTACGTCTTACAGATTCTTGCTCCTGTCTCTTATATAAACCTTTTCGCTCTTTATATTATTTATCACGGACTTAATCGAAATATATAATAATTCAGACCTGCCGAGTTTAAATTTGCCAGAATTTGGAGATATCCATTTATTGCTGTACGCCGACGACATAGCAATTATAGGTGAGTCCAGGAAAAGCACTTACAGCAATTAACGCCACACACCCAATATTAATAAAATCAAAAGCAAAGTCAATAAATTTATCAACCAAACTCTTTGATACAATAGTGAGAGCCGTCCTGATGTATGCCGCTCCATTGTGGGCAACAGAGCATAAAGACTTATTGGATAGCATACAAGACATATTTATCCGTAGGTTCCTGAATCTGCCCAGATACACTCCAGGCTACATAATCAGATTAGAAACCGGTCGTATCTCATTGAGTGTAACAGCTTTAAAATTAACCCTGAAGTATTGGCTGCGGGTGTTGAATATGAGCAGTGACAGATTGCCGCGTATATGTTTTAATAGAACACGGGAACTGTCTAATGCCTCGGGCACACCCATCGGTTTCATTAAAAAGCTCACCAATCTGCTTAACAATAATGGATCCCCTGCACTTGTTTCCTGTGATGATCCTGAAACGCTGAGGAGCGCGATTACAGGGCTCTCAAAAACAGCGGCAGACCAATCTATACAAAACGACCTTACAAGAATGGATAAATCTAAGCTATACTCTCACTACAAAGACATTCACATATCTTTCATGACGGAGGGATACCTTTTAGGGGATTTTCCTTTCCCGGTTGTAAGACTACTCGCACAAGTTAGAATACTTTCAAGTTTTTTTTTAGAGAAAACCACACCAAGATGCTCTGCGGTGAGGACCCGATTTTACCTTCTGTAATTCAAAACTGAAAAATGAAATCACTCACTATATTTTTGATTGCTATGCTCTGAAATAAGAAAGAAGAACCCTTATGCTCAAAACTGGGCAACTCTGTACTTCACTTCCATCAATAATTGACAAAATGACCCAGAATAAGTATATTGCTACGGCGTTTTATGGTTTCCACAAGTCCATATCTCAGAAGAAGGTCAAGTGACACTCACTCCTCACTTTCTTACTGCTACTCTTTTTGTGTTGTTTTTCTTGCTTCCCTCTTTCTCTTTCTTTTTTTTTTTCTTCTGTATATATCGTTATTTCCTTTGTCTCACTGCTTTTTTCTTATGCATACCTCTAGTGAATCCTGTATAGGGTCAGTGACCCTGAATAAAGGCTTTTTGTTGTTGTAAACCTTTTCATCACTTTCCATCTCGACTGAGATTCGTTTCAATATATATATATATATGATATAGAATAATACAATATATTTGTACCAATAGAGTCACTTCTCTTTTTATATTGTAGCAATAACAGATTACCACATAAACAGTTAACACACACCACTGAAAAACCAATTTATTGATTATTTCACAAAACATTGCATAATAATTGAATATATTAAATAATTGGTTACTAAAGCAAAATTCGATTAGAAATTCATGAAGTCAAATGAATGAACATCAATAGGCTTGTATGATTTTATATATAAAGTGGATATGATTCAGATTATTTACTGTTTACAACCGAAATGAAAATGAATTGAAAGATCGCCATATAGTGAGGGAGGGCAATTGTAATTATTTAGTCTAAAAATAAATGCATTAAAATTGTATTATGTTTATCATTGTGTGTTTTGTCCATGGAGCAGATCACATGCATCCATTGACCCTGATCACAATACCGGCCAACTGAGGTGCCTTGTCCGTATGGATGTCCTATTTTGGATTTATGTCTGCCATAGAGAGGTCTGCAAGGATGGCGGGCAATTGTATATATGGTCCGGAGTGAGTTGGGTGTTGTAACAGTTATTGCAGTTCCTTTAGGATCTAGTCATGTCTGGGTTTATCTTCATTCCTTCAAAATATCCTGTCCTGATTCTTGAAATTGTTGTTGTTAATTCTCTGTTATTGTTGAGGTTGCATATGGGCTGGGGTATTTTGGGAGGAACACACTCGACGATGGTGATAAAAAGAATGATCCACAACGCCAGTTTTTGGTAAATTTAGTCAAAGGTCAATTTGTATACCAGAGATTTGGGATATCAACCTTAGAACTACACAGGGGTGTGTTCGATTTTATAACGTCTTAAGAAAGAAGTTATGGGATTGGTTGAATTTTCCAAAATAAATGTTCAAATTTGTGAAGATACAGGAGGATTGCAGGCTAGAATACAATATAAAGTTCCGGGAGAAAGGTATTAATGTAACAATAGAACAACATTTGCCTTTAAATATGCATAAATGTTGCATTATGTTGTTGTTGTCGTGTCCAATGAAGAGCCTCAGATGTCCCCATGTATCTCTATCATAGCATTCGCAATGTCCTCAATATTGAGTGTGTATACTGTATTGTTGTTGTTGTTCTGTCCAATGAAGAGCCTCAGATGTCATCATGTATCTCTATCAAAGCAGTCTCTATCTTGGGTGTATAAAGCTTCTGCTCTGGCTCCATGTCAAATTTCTGCAAGGCTGCGGCCATTGCTGGGCACGAGAATTTGTGGGTAGGTGTTAGTTCCACACCAGGACAGTTGTTTCATGTCTTGTAGGTTCTTGTTGTATTATGTTCACGACCTTAATTGAAATTTGTAGGTGAGGATAAATAATAACCCACAATATACAAGTTTTTAGAAAAATCAACTAAGGCCAACCTGTATACCAAGGTTTCATGCTATGGCTCTCATCAGTACATGGTCTTCTTTGATTTCATCACAGTTAATTTCAATGTAAAGCATCTTTATTAGGTGCCCCCACAATGTCATTCTAGTTAATAAATGGACAATAAATAGTTATATTAACTAGGTTCATCATTATATACGAAATAATATTAATGTAAATTCGGCCTATATATCACCATCTACTGAATGTTTCCTTCAGTATTGTAACATGGATGACAAGAGTAAAGTTAAAGGAAGATGACTGGGGGATGGCCATGTGTTGTCAGGGCGCCAGAAACACCATTTTTCATCACAGTTAATTTATATAAAAATTAATATATACAGTTATCAGCGTCATAATCAAGCAACAATTCTTAATCAATTCTGTCACCGTTTGCTTTTGTGAATGGAATAAATACCCAAATATGGCCATTTCTCATAACCATCGGTGGTTCAGTGGTAGAATGCTCGCCTGCCACGCGGGCGGCCCGGGTTCTATTCCCATTTTTTTTTTACAATTTTTAAAACTCATTTATATATTATACAAGAATGACATCCACGGCGCCAATTTATAATTGTAACGAATAGTATTTGAATAAAAGCATTTAATCGGGTAAACCCCGGGCGTTGCCCGGGTCATTCGGCTAGTCTATATTTATAAAATTGAATGTCTGTGTGTGTGTCTGTGTGTGTGTGTGTCTGTGTGTCCTCTATGGATTCGAAAACCATACATCCAATCGCCGTGAAATATTGGAATATTATTAGGTGTATCTCCGGAAAGGTTTACGAAAAATAATTTCTTGAATATCTTTAATATCCTTAGAGTTATTTGCAGATTTGTAGCTTTAACTCGCAAGCAGCTCCACCATTGAGACCGAGATAGGCTTAGGTTTTGGTCCACGCCTGATGACCTTGGGTCTTTCAGGGCTAATATATTAAGTAAAACTAATTCAAATATTAGTGCTTTAGTGCTATCTTCTTGAGGTTACCGATTTAAAAGTTTATTTTCTAATTTTAGATTTATAAGAAACATATTTTATTTTAAGTATTGTACTTTATGAAACATATTTTATTTTAAGTATTGTACTTTATTTTAAAAAGTTTAAATAATTGTGCAAGACGATATATATGATATATAATAATCAAAAGAAATACTGAGTATCGTTTAAATATGAAATTCGAATAAATATAAATGCGCTACTAAAAATTAAATTTTAGGATGCAATTATTAAAGGTATATATATACTAGGTAAATTATTAAATTATTTAAATTACAAATATTTAAATTAAAATTTGGGATATTGTTAGGTGTATCCCCGGAAAGGTTTTCGGAAACTAATTTCTTGAATATCTCTGATTCTAATTTTAGATTTATAAGAAACATATTTTATTTTAAGTATTGTACTTTATGAAACATATTTTATTTTAAGTATTGTACTTTATTTTAAAAAGTTTAAATAATTGTGCAAGACGATATATCTATATATATAAAATTGAATGTCTGTGTGTGTGTGTGTGTCTGTGTGTCCTCTATGGATTCAAAAACCATACATCCAATCGCCGTGAAATTTTGGGATATTATTAGGTGTATCTCCGGAAAGGTTTACGAAAAAGACAAAATTCAGGATGACACTGCACACAGGGACCGGGAAAAAATGTTCACTTTATCGAGAGATTCAAATATACGAGTTTCAAATTATCAAAATATATCTTTTTTTTTTTATAAGTTTATAGAGAATTGTTTTAACAAATGTTCGTTAGAAAAACCTTTACTCGGGTAAAACCTCGGGCGAAGCCGGGTACGTCCGCTAGTATTATATAAAAATAAACTCTTTCGGCGAAAATATTTTTGTATTTTTAAAATATTTTTCACAATTTAATCATGAACAGTTAATATCAATGTAAAATAACTTTTTTTGGGAGTTTGCATTATGAGCAATCAAGTTAATAAATGGACAATAGTTGTAACATGGTTCAGCATTATATATATATTAATATATGTAACATCTATTATGTAAAATAGGCTTATATTTATATACCATCTACTTAATGCTATATTCAGTATTTTGGGAGAAAAATATGGCTAGATTAAGATTTCGAAATTACTTTTTTTTTCTTGTTTTTCAATGTTTTAATTGGGTGTATAAAGAAATTGCTTTGGTCCGAGCCATTTTTTTGTATTTTAATTAGTTAAATGCTCTTTAAAATGTTTGGTTTGGTGGTTTACGCTCGTATATAAAATTCCAATTTCAGAAAATTGAAAAGCTCATCATAAGGCTAATTGTTTCACAAATGCCTACAATATATATACAGTGTACTCCGCTTATAACAAAGCCGGTTATAGCGAAATTCCGCATATAGCGAATGAAATTGTCTGCACGAAAGAAAAGAAGGGCTTAAACCATTAAAAGAACTCTGGATATTGCGAAGTCGGATATAAAGAATTTTCGCTTATAACGAAGTGATTTGCATGTATAAATTTTTATTTTATCCGTTTATAACGAAGTTTTTTCTCATTTACCATTATAATTGACTAATATATTATGCATAATATATATCAAATTACAACGTGTGAATGACACAAATTTAATGATACACAACAAATAAGTTAATAATATACAATTTAAAAATATGCAAACATATTATAAGTATTTTTTTACATTATTTAAACAAAATTAAATTGTTTAATAAACGCTTATATTTTATTAAGTTTACAATGGCAGGAGAACGAAAACAAACAAGAAACTCAAGAGCAACAAAGCCTCTTCGATCGCATGAAAGAAGTTTTAAAAATACCGTTAGAGATGGATTTCTATTCTTATGCTGACGCTGACAATGACGTCGTTACAAATGCCATGTTATCCGATGTAGAAATTGTCGAGAGCATTCTTCAAGCAAAAGAAGAAGAAGAAACGGACCAAGTTGATGAAGAAGTAGACCCAATTGTCCACATTCCGCATCCAAAAGAGGTCTTGGAGAGCATTCAAACTCTGCGATTGTTTCTTCAATGTCAGGATGAGTCCAAGTCTCTTCATAGGCATCTGTCAGACTTGGACAACATCGAAAAGAGTGTTCAGCACTTGTTACTGACTTCTAAATGTCAAAAGAAAATCACAAACTACTTCTCCAAAAACACCTGATGAGGTTGTTATTGATCTTTGTGTTGCTCTTTTGAGTTGAATAGTAAATAAAATTATTGGTACAAAACATTTTTTTTCCAACTGCGGATATAACAAACTTCGGATATAACAAAGTGATTGTCATGGATAATGCGACTTCGTTATAAGCGGAGTACACTGTATATAGAGCTGTAGAAGGAATTTACATATTTACATATTGAAATGTTTAACTAAAATTTCATAAAAACTTTAAATATATATCCTTAAACTAATCACTTATAACTCGAATAAATTTTATAAAATATGCTATGGAAACCTATCGAAACATGATTCCTTTAACTCTTTGAGGAAAATATTTATAAAATTAATCCATTAGAGAAAAAATTACCAAAAATAAATTAATAGGTGTTCAAATTTAACCACCACTATAAATGCAGCCAATACAACACAACACATTATAGCTTTGTATTTCTCTATAAGGTATACAACTAAAAGGTATATTAAAGTAATCAATTTTGTGATTCACAGGGCTCTGGAAGATTTGTAATTGCAAAAGTCGAAATGCTTTTCACAAAATTTTAGATATATGGTGCACTTACAGTTAAAGCAGTCGTTAACTACCAACCATGATTATCACGGCCTGTACCACGTGTACTAAGGATAATAAAAATGTTTGTGATTCACATTCTTTAGTTCTTAACTTTCCAGTTATAACTAGTCTCTATGCATATTTAATATATGCGTAGGGCTACTTGAGGATAATTTTTCAATGATTATTTTTATTCTGAATGTGAAAGTTATCAGATATGGGGGAACGCTATGTAGTTACCTTCTTTGTAGAAGGGGCAGCTGTACAGGCAACCTCGTCTGCAACAAGGAAAAAGTTATTTTATAAGAAATTTTTCAAAATGTAAAATGAATATTTTCTCCTTATATTAGCGCCATTTACAAGAAAATTTCCTTTGAATTGATTTATTTATTTCAATTTAAAACGCTATGTACCCATAGGGACATTTGCCCTGTCATACATGTAAGCCTTTACATTTGTATATACATATTTACAATAATTTTAGGTCGTGAATAGAATAGTCATATGATATTACAAGGAGTAAAAGAGAGAGAAAAGGAAAACAGAGAACTATGAACAAAAGAAAGAAATGTCTTGCAACATATACGAGCCGTCTATTTTCGAAAACTATTACCCAGGATCGAAGCCCTATTGGGCACATAAAAAATTACTCCAACGGCGCTCTATTTTGCGAAAGTCCATGCACATCTTTAAGTGCAAACGAGGTTCGTCCAACTTTTAAGTGCAATGGTTGAACTAATTTCCACATGTGTGGATATATGATGCACTTGCAGTAAAGACTGTCGTTAACTACTAACCACCATGAATATCATGGACTGTACCATGTGTATTAAGGATAATGGAAAGCTAAATTAAAAGGAATTTTAACCTTATACAAATTTAAATATCTCGCCCCTTTCCGCGTGCTCAATCTCTGTTATAACTTCGCTCGTTGAAGAGCGAAGACTCGAAAGCTGGCAGTGTTTTTGTAATAAAGAAACTGATTGCGTAAGATATTTTTATGAAAGTATATCGCGATTTTCTTAAAATTCTGAATATCTTTACATTGAATCTTTAGAGATGTTCCATAGATGGTATTTAGAATCACTTGTTGTGATTTTATATCTAAGTGGAATAACATAATTACCGTAGTACTCGACGTACTGCAGCTTCTTCTTCAAATCTTTAAGAAGGTGTTTGACCTTCAGGAGTCGCTTGGTGACAGGACTCTTCCTGTCAAAGCCGGAGTTGGGTCTGGAAATATAATTTAATGTCATCTAGCTCTGTGGATGTTGTGGATGGAAACTTACTTTCTTTTGGCCTGTTTGGGCCGATGGAGAGGTGTGGTGGGCGGTGGGACCGGGCATTGGTCGTCATCCTGCACAGAATTACAAGAATTCACTATAATATCACTTTCTAATATCTCATATAGATTAAATTAAGGTGGAAATACGTATCAAGTCTCCAGGGATAGGTGTTTTTTTAAAATTATGAAATATAGGTACAGTAGAACCTCTCTGTAAAGGACACCTAATTACAGAGCCAAAGTGTCTTTTAGGGAGAGATGCCCTCTTACCAGAGAGTTTATAAATTGTAAAAATGGTAATCTTGAAAATGTAAACTGTCCTTTGTAGAGAGATGTCCGCTAGCGGGGTGTCCGCTAAAGGAAGGTTCTACTGTATAGAGAGAATATGTTTTTACGGGTTACTAACCAAAGTGTATGGTTTGTGAGCCCAAAAATGATGTAGCAAGCAGACAAGCCGCAATGCACTATATCAAAGTATCAAGGTGCTGCACGCAACCAAGGTTTTTCAAAAAAGGCTAGGTTCC